TCATGCCCCTTATCACACTACATCATAGAAGCTGTGTGCCTGGGCACACGCCAGCCTAGCGTAAGCCCCGAAGGCCACAAATGGGCTTTCTGTTTGTGTACCTTGGACCCAGAGCACTCCATGCATGTTGTAATCAAATAATGAAATTTAGTTTGTTTATTTATAGGAGTCTTGACAACATGGACTTTGTATCTATCGGGGCTCAGCAAAGACGACTGGCTCCTCATGATATTTGCTTTCCTTAGAGGGGCTGAAAACCGGTTTGGCCTCCGTGCTCAGTAAGGGCACTAGTGCTTTCTCCCCACCGGTGTGTTTAGGCTCCCGTCTTCCAGCAGCTGACCACCCACAACCACACTTCCCACGTTTTTGCGGGTTCTCCCACCTCAACTTTACTTACCAGGATCTGTTACACAGCAACCTTCTACAACCTTGGAAAACACTATTATGTCAGAGGTCATTATAACACTTATGGCTACTTGGTATCAGTCTCTGTGCGCCTCTCTTCCTGGTTACAGCTCTTAATTCAGTGAAATTTAAGAACAAAATGCAGTGTCCATCTCTGATTTCTCAATTGCTCTATGTAAAGAGGTTTTCTGTGATGTACTTTTTACACTTATATGTAAGTCCGAACCTAGAGCTGATTTCATAGATGGGTACAAGGCTCAGTGATGAAGCCTCTCCTGGAGTGGAGACAAGTAGGAAGTTCTCTGAAAAGAGCCCTGTACTCAAGAGTCTAGAAGTTTGGGTTTTGATTGTGATGCTTTAATTTTTTTGTGCTTTGACATTTTTCTTATGTTAATGAGAGTAATAATAATAGCTATAGGTGGTCATACAAAATGTAAGAGGTTTAAATTGTGTTTAGATTTACCCCTTCCTAATATGGGTACACAGGAACTTTACAAGGTGACATTGGATGATCTGGCCAGACTTATGAGCCAGTTTTGTAGGATCCTAACTAACATGGTCCTCAGAGGGCAAGATTGGGGCAGAATCGACTCCACAATTTGGTAGACGTGAAACATGAGATGCAGAAAGTGTGCATTGAAACACAGCATCACGCTTGGAATGTTATAGAATCAGTGTCGCTAAGGCACCGGCATGAATGTCACCTACTGTCATTTCTTTATTACAGTTTGAAAAAGAACTTCAGAGAATTTCAGAAGCCTATGAGAGTCTAGTCAAGTCCACCACCAAGCGAGAGTCACTGGACAAGGCGATGAGAAACAAGCTGGAAGGAGAGATCCGAAGACTTCACGATTTTAACAGAGACCTCCGAGGCATGTGGCTTTCAACTCCTGTTCTCACCATTAATGACTCATTCAGCTCACAGTTTGATCCAGGGCCAGCTTTCTTTGCTATGATGCTCTTGTACCTGTGTTAGATAAGCTTGTAAATTTTGTCAACCTGGGGAGGGTGACAAAATTTTCACCCTTGTTCTTTTCTGCTTTGTTTGATTGAAGTCGCAGCCTGGAGCCTTACTTGTGAGCACCTGATGCACAAGGCTGTGGAAGGAAAGCACTCAACAGTGACCAATGACCATGAGTAGGAATGTTTGTTGGTTGCACAACCTTTGCCACATCAGGCTGATAGTAGCATTCTTTGGAAGCTAGCATCTCATTCGCTAGGTATAATACAGAAGACAGAACTAGACATGGGCTCCTCCTATGGCGGGGGGGAGGGCCACATTTGTAGATGCACATCTTTCCTGGAAGATAGGAGCCCCTGCTGCTGGATCTTGGCAGCCTCAATATGCACAATGGCAAAACCCAGAAAATCTTGCCTCTTTCTCAGTCAGGCAAGCCATTTTCCAGTTGCTATTTACTGTCCAAACAATCAGTATACTGGTAGCTCCCAGGAGCTAGAGCCTGCCTTTTCCATTGCTCCAAACCATTTCATGTCGGGTGCCATATATATACGGTAAGTACTCGCTGAGCTGCACTGTTGAACCGAATAAATGAAGATACACCAAGTGGTTTGAACAAGCACAGAACTCACTGTGTACAGTCTTCATCATCAGGTCATTTTGACCTCTTCTTGGTATTTAATTGTTATTTTTATTTGCTTTTTGATTCTGAGATTCAAGTAGCAGTTGCTACTGCTGGTGAAAGATAGACTAGGACTGGGTTTGAGGTCATGAAGACTGAACATCTTTGAAGGAATTCAAACCAGAGGTTTGGGGGCTGTAGAAGAAGTGAGTGGTTTCTCCAGCAATGTAGCTGCTCCCTACTGGTACACTCCCTAGCATTAACTGCATAAAGACCCAGCGTGGCACCCAAGGCTTTTCTTTCAGTATTCTGGAATACAGTTACTGTTCCTCCTCAAGGATTGTTCAGTTTGGGACTCTTGCCTGAGCATCAGTTCATATCCAGCTCTTGGCACCTCCTTTATTTCTTACTTACACCCATATGCATTTCTTTTTAATCATTTCCTCTTTGTTCACAGATCGACTGGAGACCGCCAACAGGCAGCTGTCCAGCAGGGAACATGATGACCGTGGAGACAAAGTCACAGAGGGGCATTTTGCTTCTCAGAGTGAGTCACTGCATTCATTCATACCAAGCTGGTATTTTTAACAGCTGAAGGCCTGAGGAAAGAATCATATTAATTTTCAGTAGGTTTTGTGCTGTTGGCTTTTTGTGTGTTAATTTAGCATACAACCTGTTAGCCTCAGATGAGGCCCTCCTTGGTGTGCCAGAGAAAAAGCTGAGGTTGACATATGTCACTTCAGTGATGTCAGTTCTCTCCTTTGACCTACAATTTCTCTCTCTTTCTATAGCAGCAACGTCACTGTTTCAAATAAGTCTTAAGTCTTTTTCTACAAGAAAGGAAGAGGCTGAGTGGCAAGGTTTGGTTCTGTTCAGGGGGATGTTCTGAGTTTTTTGCCTTTTGCCAGCAGGTAGCTTGTGTAAATCGTCTCGCTGCACACCTCCATTCTTGCTCGTTTCTAGAAACCACTGAACCCATTTCAGCCAGGAATAATGGACAGTGGTTTTATAGGCCTCTAGATTTATTGGGAGAATATTTTATTAATTTTACCAGAGGGAAACAATAAATCAAATGGGTTTTGACAAACCATTGGTCAAGGTTGAATTTCTGCAAATTCAGTGCATAAGCCAGAAATTGTAAACTCTAACTGTCTATTCTAAAAGTCGTTTAGAAAATTGAATTCACATGTATATCATAATTCTCAACAATATTATAAATAAGTGCCCACAAAGTAAACAATTCAAAACAACAAAAAGAAACATATTGCTGATGCAAAAGTCAGCTTTTGCTCCAAAGGGAGTAAGAGATGGCTCATTCTGAGCCAAATATGAGTAAGCCTAGCCCGGAAACAGATTCATCTAACCCTCAAATGACATGTTCCACTGTGGAAAAGGTAACATGAACTTTTATAGTTGCAGAACAAAAGAAAAAAGTCATAAATCAATGCATTTATCAAACACATCGGTAGAGACATTGGGTGGGTGCATTGTATACAGGATTTTGACACCTTTCTTGTGGGTGACGGTTTGCATGGGTAGAAGAACACCCCTCAGCAATGTTAGCTCTGCACAGTCGGCTGATGCACTGCCTCCTTGTCAGGATGTCAGTAGATCTCTGAGTTCAGGTCAGAGTTGAAAGGTCAGTGTGTTTCATCTGATGAGCACTGCTTCTGGCCTCCTGCCCCATTGGTGCTGATGGAATAATAGGTTTTGGTGTTGGGTAAGCTTAGACACCAGACACATTCCTGAAGACTTTAACCTTCTGGGTCAAAGCTGAGACATCGTAATCAGAAAACAAGGCACTTCCAGCTTCACAAGGAATGGTTTGCTCTGTGCAAACTTGCTCCACTGTCTTTCAATGGTATAAGCAAGAGAGCCAGAGTTATTTTCCACCTGCTCGGGGGTATCCTAGTTGAGGCATGATGTAACAGTTTGATAACTGTGTTATCTAACCTCTTTCCCCACACCTGGTCTTCACAGCAGACTTTGTGCTTTCCTCACAGCATTATAGCTATCTGCATTAGTTTTTATTCTCCAGGCATGGCTGAGAGATGGACTCAAGAAGTTATTTCAAAGTTAGGCAGGTTTTTTTCCTAGTGAACCCTTTGTTTATTAAGAAAATGAGCATGTTGCAAGTGTTTTCTTCAGTGTTATTAAAGCTTTGATTATAGTGTTTGTGTCTTATAGAGACTTATAAATCCGTCTAGGTTTTATGTCATGCTTAGAGATACTATTTATAATACAAGATTATAATAGCATTTATCAATGTTTTTTTCAGTATAAGTATGATTTCACACTATATTTTGAAAGCTAGCTTGGTGGACAGAATAGATAGCAAGTTCATAAGAGACTAACCTAGAAACAGGAGACTAGTTAGCAGGCATTTTAATATCTGGACAAAAAATATAGAGTCCTGAACTAAGACAGTAGAAGTAGCAGTGGAACATAGCAGCAGATCAGTAGTAGGACTTGGTGGGTGACTAGTTGAATAATGGCAATGATAGAGAAAGAAACTAGGTGGAAAGAAAGAAACTTGCTGGGACAGCACAGGAGAAGCAGGTTGGGATCAGACCAGTCAAGGTCTGAGCTGCTAAGTCATTTCTACTTGCAGCCCTTAGCTCAGTAAGCAGGTACAGCAATAGGCGCAGAGAAACTCAGAAGGCTGGATGGGAGGCACACTCTGTCAGGCTTTCATTTTAGCATGTGCATATAGAATGGCAGGCATGAATTACTACATCTCTTCATGGTTATTAATGTGTTCCATTATCTGAGTATTCTTTCAGACACCCTATTATTAGAATAAAGTTCATCAGCCCCCTAGTAATCATAATTATAAACACTACCCACTCAAGTGGAGCCTTCTTTTCAAATGTGTCTTTGGATTCTAGCACTTGGTTCAGAGAAAGGCAAAACAGTGTGGCAACAGCTGTGACACTTGAATGATCCCTGCAAGAGCTGAGTGCTGACAGCATCCTGGCCAATGGGAAATCAGAGGGAAGGGGGAGCCTCTTGTGTTTGGCATTCACACTGACACTAGGCTGCTAAGTCTAATAGCATCCAAGCAACTCTTAGAATACCAGTGAAAGCTCTCAAAATTAATGGAGGTGAGGAGGATGTTCCTGGATAGATTTTTTTAAAATTTCTCTGCTTCCCATGGTAGTTTTATTTTAAAAACTAAACTCTGTTCTTAGTTGGAGCCTGGGAAGGCCTTGGGTAGTTGGGTAGTTGCCACTGAGTTCTAAAGGTTGAAATGCACATTGAACAGGCTTATAACATTTCTTTCAGGTAAGATCAATGCACTTCATATTCATGTAGGAAAATTGAACAATGAACCTGCCAAAACTGTTCTAAGAAGATGGGGGGGGGTTATGAAGGAGATGATGGAGAGGATGAATCTGATTAAGATACATTATAAACATATATGTAAATGTCACTGTGAAACCCCCTATACAAGTAACATCTGCTAATACAATTAAAAAAGATTTGTGTATATGGAAAATCTTGGGAAATTAAGTGCTTAATAATTTAACAACCTTGAAGAAAGCTTTTCCCCTACCACCTCATGTTGTAACATTCTCTTTGAAGGAATTCAAAGTTTTGTTTGTTATCTAGTTTTGCTTGCTTGCCTTTCCAGTTGTTTAATAGATTATAGGTTAGTGATGTCAAAGCCAAATTGCTCCTGAAAAACAGGGCCTCTTGCCAACTTGTATTTAGTTTGGCAGTGCGTAACTGGGGCTGCTTTGTCCTTTCACTGAGGTGCCCATTTTCTCTCTCTCTCTCTCTCTCTCTCTCTCTCTCCCCTCCTCCTCCTCCTCTTCCTTCTCTTCCTCCTCCTCTTCCTCCTCCTCCTCCTCCTCCTCCTCCTCCTCCTTCTTCTTCTTCTTCTTCTTCTTTCTCCCCTCCCTCCCCTCTCTCTCTCTCTTCCTCTTTCCTCCCACTGTCACACAACCAGAGCAGGTTACTGTTTGCTAAGGCAGAGCCTCTGGGAATCTGTCAGTCTTTGCTATGACTTCTCGGTCAATGAAACTTTTAATATTATTTCTGAAAATTAGTAACTGCAGAATCCCATGTGCTTTAGGCAAGAGAGCCAAAAATAGAATATTGCATGTGGGGAAATCAGATTGGTTGAGATGGAAATTCATTTTATGCCGTTCTTAAATAGATGTGTCAGGCCTTGCTACAGTTTTTGGGTCTGATGGGACCTGATCAGCTCTGCAAGCCAAGAGTCTCCACTCCCTGGGGTTTTCTGGGCCCTGAACATTCAGCACATCTGGTTAAACTTAGCTCTCTGCAAATTCAACTGTGGTTATTAAATGGGTGCCTGTCTAAGGAAAAAAAAAACTGGACATTCGGTTATTTGTTTCAACAACATATTGTTAAGTAGTGAGTAAATGAGGCAGAACTACACCTGCTGATTTGCCTTAAAAGTCTCATGGATTTAAAAACAGAAAAAAAATGTGTGAGGCCAAACTGTTTCAAAAATAACAGTAATTTTTTATTTCAATATACCTTGTAATCATCATTCTTACCCTTGAATCTTATTTTAGATACATATTTTGTGTCTCTTATGAAACATAAAAGAGCCTCAAATCATTTCTTAAAATTCCTCTGGTGTTGGCATTTCTATGAGGTCTTGTGTGAAGCACAAAGCAGAAACATAAACATTTATTCTGTTGGCTTAGATAGAGTACACAGCGATTCTAGTGAATTTGCACTGGTTTCATCACACCTGATGGGCTTCGTTAGGAGGCATCACCCATGTCACACACAGATGCTCCCATTACAGCACTTACCACTATTCGTCATGGTTTAGTCCTTGCTGGGTGGGAGAACCATAGGCATTCTCTGTCAATATTCACCCCACGAAGACACTGTGCATCTTTTTGTACCGGGCACTCAGTCTAACATTGAGAGAATGAATACAAGCAGAAAATCCTAGTAACAGTAAGCTTGAAATTCTCTTTGTGTGGCATCAGTATCAAAATGTTCTTTTTAATTCACTGTCTCCAGTCATGTGAAGGAGATACCCCTGGAATTCTTATGTCAAGGGACTAAGTGAAATTATTAAAAGAATTACTATTTGAATAGAAGCAATTTAAAACTACTCAACTTCATTTTTTTTTTGTCTTCTTTCTTCCTTTTTTCAAGTAGAAAACAATATCCAGGTAAGAAAACCTTTTTCAGTATTAAGAAAAGTAGTGCTGCATTGATGGTGTATAGCCATAATCCCAGTACTTGGGTGACTGAGGCAGGAAGATCTCAAGTTCCAGGCCAACCCAGGTTACTTAGTGAGACCCTATCTCCAAAACCCTAAACAAAAAAAAGTTAAAAATCCACAAACAAACAGGAGTATTTCTCCAGACAGTGGATATTAATTTCACCCTTTCTGGGTCCCCTGACTTCTTTCTTTTACTCAACTGTGCCTGTGCAGGAGGTGAGAGTTGGCTGTGGTGACACTGACCCACCACAGACCAGACAAGACAAGTCAGCGCCATGAGCAAGGGCGCAAGGCCTGCTAGAGCAGCAGCACTTTGAGTGAGAAGGTTG